ATGATACGGATACAGGAGCTGCTCTTGAAGTACCCTCCATGCGGTACTATAAGATGTACAACATGCTAGGGTCACTTGACATGTGCTAATACCTGGATGATCATCGACAGCCTGTAGAATATGTTCTTTGTGGCCAGGCGTAAGAGCTGATTTCGGTCTTCTTCTATCCATAGTTTGTGGTACCACAGATCCTGTCTCCGCAACCCCACCATAAACAACAGCAAAAGTTGGATGACTCGGATGCCTTTGGTCCTGGAAACGCAATCTAATACAGCCGTGCAGCCTCGTGTCCATTACTATTCGGGCGGACGTATGCAAATATCCTTCTACACAAGTTAAACGTTGAAGACAGACTAGTCACAAATGGACACGAATGACAAATGCAGCCTAGTCTACATGGCAATGCGACGCCATCTACTGCAAACTTTCTTTAAACTTAATAGCTCAAAAACGAAGGATTTGTGTACATATGACTTCATGGACTTTTAGTCTGTTTTTTGGTATGAGGGTCCAATGAAAAATTTTGTAAAAGTATTTTTGATACACCCTGTATATAAGGTGGATGCTGGGAAAATGTTTACGAACAGTTTTAAATCGAAAAAGATAAAGACACACAAAAATATTATCTTTAAATTGAATAATTTAACGACATTGTTTTTTTATGCCTATTAGTTTGAAATGCCTTTACATAGCTTCAAAAATATATATATATATATATATATATATACATACACACACACATATATATATATATATATATATATATATATATATATATATATATGATTTCAAAAATTTATAAAATATTTCTAAATATATGTATATGAAGAAATATACACTTAATGTGTGCTATATTTATGGGATAAAGTGCTCAATATCAGAGATAGAGCGTGTGTAAATATAAAAGTGAAAATCTTCCTGATGATTGCGTCTAGCATGAAACAGCATGTCGCCTCTAAGTGTTGACATTGACGTCAATGTTCACTTTTATATCAATATATATATATATGATTCCCAAAATTTCGCATGAGGATGAAGCAAAACTTTAATTTTAATAATAAATTGAAATTTTTAGCTCTTGTTTTTGAAACATGAGAAGTCTTATGTTGCGTTTGAATCATATCTTTATAAAATATTTATAATTTAGTCTCTACTTATGTATTGAGCACTGTTTTTTAAAAACAAAAATACTAAAGAACTTTGGATTATTAACTTAACGTGTTCTTTCCTATTTTTTCTATATATTTACACACACACACACATATATATATATATATATATATATATATATATATATATATATATATATATCCATATCCGTTCACAATATTTAACTTCCGTCCAAATTAAGACAACCTCTCGTAATTTTCGGACATCCCTCATATATTTGAGATCGTAGACAAAGTCACTTTTTTCTTTGTAATTGTTTTTCTTATCTATTTCAAGCTAACGGATTCTAAACAAAGATACTTCGCGTTTATGTTGTCGGGCTTTTAATCATTATTGGCTGAGAAATTCAAAAAAACCATCATGTGTTGTTTTTTCTTTATTAATTTCGTTGTTTAGAACATTATAAATTTAAATGACGTTTTACAGCTTATTGTTGACTCTGTTTGCAGGCTGCTGGGGAATGAGAACAACAAATACATAGGTACATCATTTGAGAATTCAACATTTAAATATAATGCAAACTTATAATACAGGAAAATATTAATTTATTCCGAATAAATGTTACAATAATGTAATAAAAATCTGTCAGTAATAAATTTAAAAATTATTTCTTTAGAAATTGCTTTGTTTACAAAAACTAAGCAAATTTCTTTAAAAATTGCTTTCTTTACAAAACTGAGCAAATCTAATGTCTGGGACGAGGAGGATTGCGCTCAAAGGCAGTATTCGACCTTGGTTAATAGCACATCAGATCGACCAATAGTTTGTCTTGCAAAGGCGGATGCAGGTTCGAATTCTACTGTGAGTACAATTTTTTGTGTATTTCTTTAAGGCATGGGCTGCCAGGAATCCTTTCAATAGGTATGTCGGAACATTTTCCGATCAATTTCAAGGCTACCATAATCCTAGGTAACTATAAGCTTCTTCTTGTTCCAGTTCCCTAATCGTTGTAACGAAATCTAAATCTATTGAGTGTTTCTGTGATTATCCCTTTCATAAATGTTACTTTTGCACATTTATCTAATCAGAAATCCATATCTATGTCGTCACTGAAACATTTTACAGTATTGAAGAGATCCTTCAAGTCATTTTCGTCTTTGGCAAATTATTTTAATTAAATTTTCTTCTTCTTCTTCTTCTTCTTCTTATTATTATTATTATTATTATTATTATTATTGTTATTGTTGTTGTTGTTGTTATTCCGGTTTGTTGAAAAAATTATTCGCATTTATCTCTACACCTAATATTATTAGTTGTACACATCTAAAGACAGCAATAATAAACTTAAGGCGTCTAAATCTCTTAACTGAATTGATTGCTTTATTTTTACGGTTTATCAACCTGTTTGTGGATTATTTAAAACCGAAACATATTTTGAATTGTAAGCTTGATTTCTTTTCTTTTGCTAGTGAATATTGCATTAACTATTTTTAAGAATAACAATGATTTTATCCAGATACAAGAACTACTATTTAGCCCATAGCTGAAGGAAGGCGATTGATTCGTAGCTTTTCGAAGGTTATTTGTAAGTAAGTGAATGTAATGAACCCAACTGGACTTTGAATCTCTGACTACTCATTCGAAGCCATTATAACACCTCCGCTTCCACCTCTAAACAAAGCCCTGGCATTTCATTTTTAACGAGTATTTCTTTAATCTGATAACATTTTACTTGTATTTCATCTTAAAAGAGAAAGTCTAATTAAGATGAAAGTATTATGAGACAAAAAGAATTGATAAATGAAACTGTTTTATCTAAGAATAAAATTCAAGTTTATATTTCTCTTGATATAAATTTATTTAATACGACAAGAGATTATTGAATGGAAAAAGATTCTTCCTTCTTTCAAAATAGGACTCTTCGAAATTAGGAAATGATTGTTGGACCGAATATTATAACTCTAATCGATCATATGTCGTAGTCTACACGCAGCCTGCACATCAAGTAATTCATCATGGCGTCCTGATGGCTACGACATCCGAATCTCTGATGATAAGACATTATTAAGATAGAAAGACAATTCTACATTAAAACAAATCTGTTTTCCAAATCAGACAAGTCGCTTATTAATCACACTGGTTCTGGGCTCGTAATTAATGATATTCGTCTGTGAAAATTTGGATCTTGTCCTGATGAGATTGGGGCCAAAATCTGCAACTGTGAACGTCACGAAAATTGATCACTTTTTGATTTATGGACAAACAGAGTGTTCCTGCTTCAGATAATTCTTAACAGTCTGCGTTTCTAGTCAAGATTACAGTTCTATAAAATCATACAGATTTGTATTGAAGCACACATTTGAAAATGTTATCACTCGGTTCAACGAGAAATTTGTAAGCCAAAGTGAGCATCATTAGAATCTACGCAATTTTACTACTGACCCAGCTGTGAATTTATTCTATCAGGATAAAATCTAGGATCATTCGAATGGATGGAAAATTGGCAGAAAACATTTTCAACCTGGTTAACATTTATGCATAGCTGCTGTCACATACCTGCGTTGGAGAAATACAAATGATGATATCGGGATTCATAGGATGAGTGAGCCAAGACCTTTAGATAGTGAATTGCTTTAGTATTTTGCTTTGTAGTTTATCAATAATGAAGCAATGTATTACTTAGCATCAGGAAAATTCGCACGCACACACACTTTCTCTCCCCCCCTCTCTTTCTCTCTCACTATCTCTCTCTTCACCATTGCTGGTTAAAACATTTACAAATTTTAATTTCATAAGTTTTTAAATTCCATCATTAGTAAACTTCAATGATGTTATGGCCAGAGGTTGCAAGATGACACGTATTCTAAGGAATTACTGTTCCAATAAACGCGGTCTGTGTCTTTTTAGAGCCCAAATTTCATTGGCGATGGTCGAGCAGTGATCAGTTGTGCTGAAGAAAGCTACGTCTCCGATTATCATGATGAACCTATTTTTCGTCAGCTGTAAGTAGAGGGTCATTTTTTTAAATGAACGAGCAAGTTGTAGCTATTATCAAACTGTTTAAGCTACTCATCAGTTTTATCACGGAGCTACACAGTCTTCTGCCTTCATTTAATTTTCCAGTTTGTGTCTCATGTGTAGATCTAGTTTTTCCTTCAATGCACAAATGTTTATTTCTGAACGAACTTCCACGGTTCCACAAACTTCTTCATTGTCGACTAACCACTGGAGGTCATGACTAGATCTTTGAGATCCAAATGACTTGCAGTAAATCTTTGGAACCAACAATGTACAGTCTATTCTATAGATGACTGACGCCTTCATACATTAATGTTGATGTCATGGCTGACTTTTCTACAAAACATGGTCTAATCGTTGCAAGCAATGGTAAAACTCATTTCTTTCCTGTGTTGTGAGTTCAAGTTCAGTAATACGAGGTCTGTACAGTAAGTATCCAATCATTTTGAATATGGGGAAACCAGGTAGGGTAGCCTTAATATAAATTAGCACCCAGTCAGAGGGAAGTGCAGTGTGTGAGTAAATCTACTTAATTTTACGTCGTTGGTAGCGAGAGAATGTTCAATGCAATTCTTCTCTGCACCCGTCGCATTCACAATGAATGAGAAAGAAATCCATCAGGTCATGTGGAAAACATTCTGGTTTCGAAGCCATTATATATTCATGATGTGGTTTTCTATGACTTTCGGCTTTTTCCAAAGTTAGCATCTTCCTTGAAATGCTATAGCCGAGATTATAAGCAATTCGACGAGACAATTGATGACCCTAATAAAGGACTTTGCATACTGTCCATTATCTGTTGAACAATGCGTTTTCTAACCTTCTTCATGTTATCTGAAGTTTTGAGATGAAGTGTTGTCTTTCTTACAGTTATGATTGGGATTATTATCTCCCTCCTTGTCATTTCAATCACCAAAATTCAGTTGATACCTCTCGTGGGCTACCTAGACGATGACTGAAAACATATACTGGTAGTCCAATTCATAATTTTGGCAGAAGAATATTGTCTTCAGATTTTGGTAATAAGTTTTTAAAAAAAAAAAAATGAATCGACTTCTCCTTTGTAACAGTCCTATCACCAGTTATCCCGAGAAAATATTATGTTACTGGTAATTCATAATAGCAGCGAATAGACTCTTTGATGACATACTTTGATAAACCGTTTCCCCATGATTATATTAACTGTTTATGAAGTAGTAGATGAAAGCTCCGGCAGACTGTAACAGCCATGGCATTTTATGACTTAAATATCCCATGCTTATTGAATTCAAACCATTATAATTTGATCCTTACAAATTGAGTTTATCTACCTTTGGATTGGTTCAGAATAAGCCTCATAGGCGGCATTGTGTCGCATACAAAAAACTAATATGCAGAAATCTTTATGATAAAAAGAATATGCCTATAATTAGAAGGTTCAACAAAGTGCTATTGGTAATCGAAATATCTATTCTCATCAATATTGATCTGTTTAAATAGATTTATTTTTTTAGCTTGTTTTCATCATTCCCTTTGCCTCCCTCCAAATCTCTTTATTTTTGTGTTTATCGCCCCATTTTTTCTTAGTATTTAATTCATTTTTTCTCTTCCCTTCTTTTTCTCTTCCACTCTCTTTCTTCTGTTCTTTTCTTTTTCTTTCTTTTCTTCCTCTCTTTTTGTTCTCTTCCTTCCTTTAGTTATCAATCTTCTCTTCCGCCATTTTTCTTTATTCTCTTCCTCTCTTTCTCCTTTTCCACTCATTCTTTTTTCTTTCTTCTCTTTATCCTTTTTTTCTTCTCATTCTCCCTTTTACTGCTCTTCTCCTTTTATTCCTTTCCTTTCTTTTTCCTTCTTCTCTTCCTCCTTTTTCTCTACGTCTATTTTTCATTTCCAGGTTTTCACTTACGTCACTTGCTCCCTTTTTTCTTTATTCTCTCTTCCCTTTTTCTTTCTACTTTTCTTCTCTTCCTCTCTTTTTCTTTCTTCTCTTCCTCTCTTTCTTTCTTATCTTCGTCGTTTTTGTTCTCTTTCACCCTTTTCATTTTCGTCTCTTTCTCTCTTTTTCTTTCTTCTTGCCCCTCTTTTTCTTTCTACCAAACCTTCCTTTTCTCGTGCCTTTCGACGCATGAAATAATCAAGAGACATTCAGAAAGCAATTGATTGTTTGTGATAACCACTTGGAAATGTGTTTCGCCAACAGCGAGAAAAGACGGAGTGAAAGGCTCTACTCCTATCTCAACGGTTAGATTTACCAATGAACGGACTGAGCTTGACACTTCATTCGCTTGTTAAAAGGAGAAACCGGAATTGTTTCATGAATAGAAAAAAATACGCGCGTATAGATGCACACATAGGCATACGCGGGCACCCAACACAATGATATATATATATATATATATATATATATATATATATATATATATATATATATATATATATATATATATATAAGGCCTAAACCGATCAATTCAAATTTCTGGTGACTATGAATGTCCGGTAGGCATTAGCTCTTGGAATGAGAGGATTCTGTTGCGAGATAAAAGCCCGCAAATTTAGCGGCATCAGCGAAGAGATTCACTGCAAATGGCCGAAATTTTCGCTCGAAGAACGTAATGACTTTTTGCCATTTTTCTTTCTCTTCCTTTCCAGGTGGGAGAACATTGCATAAATATGGCCGGAGTCAAGAAATAAGTAAAGAGGAAAACAATGCTATAATAACTGAGGCAAATTCGCACAAATTGTTGGAAGAAATGAAAACATGATGGAGAATTGACAAAAGCCCCGAGTCAAAGGATTGAAAAATAAAAATCGGAGGTACCACTAGTGGGAATAAAGAAACTTGCTAACATTTGATCTACAGTGAAGGATTCAAGTTACTAAAAAAGCTTTTAAATTTCGCATCATAATTAACCCTAATCAATCATAAGAGAATTCAGAAATGTATCTAAAATGGAATAAAAAATACATTTTATTATTGGGAATAGTGGTTTCTCTTGTAATTGCGCAGATTAATGGTACGAGATATAGATACTATTCAAGAGAATAAAAAGAAATTAAAATTATTCGATAGTGACAAACCACCATGTAATTCCTATCAGGAGACCATCGTAATGAAAGTCAAATTACTGTAGTCCAAAGAGACTACAGAACGAAAATGAACGAGATTGTAAAGTTAGGGACGATATGAAACTTAGCAAAGAAAGTGACGATTTTAGCAAAAAGACTTACAATAAGTTTAGTAGAATTGAGACAATCCACGTAATATCATGAAAATCAACACGTATATTTACGTAGGTTCTGAAATAGTGAAACACACTTGTGTGAAAATCTAATAATTTCAAAATAATATTAATAAGGATATAATAGCTGTAATAATAATAATAATAGTAATAATAATAATAATAATAATAATAATAATAATAATGAAGAATACTTGACTAAAAATAACTCCTATACTGAGGAGAGTGCTGTAGGATCCTTAAAAAGAAATATTTTTAAATCATCTCCATGGAGAGTGACCCAAAATTCCTGGTGTGAATATCAAATGTGTCCAAAATAATCATAAAAAGTAAATATATTTTAGACTTTGAACAAACCAGAGAAATCGTGATCTTTGTTACAACGACATAATCTCTGAAATGGGGGAATTCCGTCTTTGTGTAAATTACCTCGAAGTGTATTTTACGGAATGTCTTGATCTTTACGTGATTTGGTCTTGGTAAATGAATTTAAAATGCAACTATTTTCTAACGAACCATCGCGCGTAAAAACTTTAATACAAATCGTGGCCACACGAAAAAACATAATGAATTTATTTTCTGTTAAATAATTGATTGGTTGATTTTTTACGCCATATCAACCTTTTGAAAATTATTTAAAATAGAAATATATTTTGGATTTTAAGAATATTTCTTTGTGTGCAATTGAACATTGATTCTAACATTTTTAGGTAACATTTTTTTTCTCTAGACAAGTGTTACCGAGAAACAAGTGAAAAGAAACTGTAAAGAGACACGATCTCCTACGTCTTGATGGGACAAAGGGGATTTAAGATGAATGAACATCAGTCAGAGTTCCGACATTTAATAACATTCTTTTTTTAAAAAAAAGATAATAACTGGTAGCGATAAATTGATTTTTTACAAAAATCCAAAATTGAAAAAAAAAATCCAAAATGTTCAGGGGAACGACACCAACATGTTAATATAAAAAGAAAATAGAAAAAAAAATCTATAGTCTGCCTTTGCTAGGACCTAAGCTGAATTCTTCTTTACAAACTGTTGGTATCTGCACAAACTGTTGTTTTCGGGACTCAAAAGCAACACAACAATCATGCAGCTAGGAGAGGAATGTCTTCATGCGAGCTTTAGCTGAAATATGCTACAAGTTTTGAGACAGGCGAAGGAAATACATTAATGACTGAATGAAAATGATTTGTTTTAATAAGAAAAAAATAGTTTTTGAAACGTGCTGCGAATGAAACCAAATATTTATGAGTACCTGACACACAGATACGAAAAATATTATGAATAATACGTTTTTAGTATTCCATAAAGCCAGAAAGAAAGAATTCTATGTTGGTTGTTTGATTTTGTTTATCGGCGTATCAACCTGTATGGGTCTCTTTAATGCTTAAATCTAAATATTTGGAACGCAAATACATGCCTTCAACTACAGATAAAATATATTGCTGGTAAGTTTTACTATAAAATGTGTTTTATACTTTCATTTTATTTTGTTTTCGTTTGGATGTTGTTTATGTGCCCATAGCTAGGACCTAATAGGTGTTACCACCCCGAGTCAAGGTGGACCTTGAAATCACAACAATTACGAGGAGGTTTCACGCTCCTCAAAACCTCCAATATTCCCGCCTTTTTGCTGGTCGTAGTTTATCCTCTTCCCATGGAGTACTTTAGCATTTTCATAAATTCCACAGAATAACGACATCAATCTAAGCATATGGGGTTTAAATGTGTATACTTTGAATGTAAATAAGGCACCATCACCTGCGTTTTAGTTAATACTAAATGGCTTGCTCATTTGAGACCAAGTCTCATATTCTGTTGCTTAAATAAATATTAAGGCTTTGCGTGATGAAAGATTTGTGTTACGAGACCGCTTTTCTTGACCAAATGGATAAGAAGAATTCTCGATAAGGGTTTAGAAAGGTATGCAGATCCTCAAATCTGCAATAATAACATCTCAGTTTGGTAAACCCTTTTAATAGTATTCCACTTAAGCACGTGCACATTAAGATTATGGCTTATCGATCTAAACCTTATGATTAACAAGACAGCAAGCATTTAAAATGATGTCCAAAATTGATTCAATAAAACAAAATGAAAGCTCGTGAGAAACGTTAATATAAAAATTGATAATTTATTTCTATAAAAACCAAAATATAGGTAAAAAGTAAGGCAAATGCTTCAGGTAAGAGATTCAGAATAATAAAGGAGAATAATAAATAGAAAATATAGAACAATATACAAAAAAAAATACCCATGGGCAGTTCCGATCCAATCTTGAACTAAAAATTGGAAGAAGATTCCATACTGAAATTTTGACATCCTATAAACTCCTCAAAGTAATCTTTGGGTTGCATGCAGACATTTGAACTTATATTTGCCACCGGTTCATATGTTTTCAACATTTTCAGTGCAGACATATGGGTTCAAAAAATTCTGATAATGTTCAACAGCATGGCATACGGATATAAGCTATGGGGTGCCTTTTTTCTTGATTGCTAATATTGTAATAGTAGACACTTTTAAGAAAATCTTTTCTTCATTACCATTTACTGTCGAAGATCTGCATTTTTATATTAATCACTTAAATGTTACATTTCACTAAATTATCTTCAAGTTAAAGCGTTTAAAAGAGTTACACTAAAGGTTTTTATGCTGTAGTGTGATTGCTTTTGCTGTGTTAAATTAAAAACAGAAAAGTAGTGAATTAGTGAAAAGTAGTTAAAAACTTGTGCAGTGATTTCAGTGCTATATCTTCAATATTTTCAAACGTTATCCATTGACAAAACTAAAACCATTTCTAACTTCTTTGAAACTCTCGAGATATATATAAATAAAATTGATCATAACGTACCGAGTATTGTCATTGAAATTTGAATGGACAATGCAAGATTAAAATCTACCAGCGTGTGTTCACTTTGTCTTGATCTTGTAATAGGAATTAATTCACCTCCTGGGAATAAGCTAGTTGCCTTAACAAAAGCCTCATTGACTTCAAATCACAATGCTTGCTTAAAAGGAATGCACTTTAATCGAGAATATTTTTTTTCTGGAAACGTTACCGTTTAATTCATGTCTCATATTACTCGCAGAGCTGATAGGCACGCAGAGTTAACATTTTGACCTGCAAGACCATGATAATCCTACAACGATATTTCTGTTGTTATGCAGTTTCTATACACATGGTGCGTATTCATGCCTACGTAATAAATATCGGGGATAATGGATACTTTAATATGTTTAAATTTCATTGTGTATTGATCTCTTAGGCCAGTCAAAATAGGAGACAAGAGAAATACGGTTTCGAAGCTTACCAAGAGATCATTACTTCTTATGCAAAAACTTTACTAACGGCCATGAAATGACGCCCTGCGTAGATATGCAACTAAAATTAAGATAGAGTTGAAAGTTAAAATGAATTGAACTGCATCTTTTTTGTTATCTTTGAGGTTTTTTTTTATCTTTATAAGCTTTACGTGGAAGGTATTTACTTCATGCACAATCATCACTAGTAAAAACGATTATTAAGAATTTTGCTGTTTTAGTACCATTTTTCGTTCCTAATCTAGAAAAATTACAATTCCTGGGTAGAATGTTTCAGTCATTTCACGAAATAATGTTTGCACACCTTATAACAATTTTTAACTTTTAGCCTTTTTGTTTTACTTGCACAGGAATAAAAAAAAAACTTATTTTGGAATTATCAATTATGTCTTTATAACGAGCAATTTATCTAAATACTATAACAACATTTCTTCTGAAAAGAACATTTATTCTTCCCCGTACGAGGGAGTGTGAAAAATTTGTCATATTAAAAATACCGACATATTCTTTCTACCTTCTTCCTCTACTCTCCTTTTCTTTCTCTTTCCACTTTATGTATAAAAAACATATTAAGCGATTTACTAGAAATAT